ACGGAGCAGAAATGCAGGGTGCTGGGTGCCCCTGCCCCCCGGGGGAAGATGCGAGGGGAGAGGGGCTGAGTGATTCCACCTGGGAAGGGATAAAAGTGCAGCTGTGGGAGGTTTCCTCTGCCTTCAGGAAGAGGCTGGAGGGGAGGGATGAGGCAGCAGCAGCTGATAAGGCATCGGAGCAGTTTCCCACCCTTGGAGAAGGCAGAGCCTGGGGGACTGAGGTGATGGCTGTGTTTGGAGGGGAGCAGGGTGTGCATGGGGGGCAGGCTTGGGGCCACGCTGCAGCCGCTTTGGCAACGTTTTCTCCCATGATTTGCTTTTGTCTGTGTCCAGCTGGTTCCACTGTGTGTGGCAGAGAGGTCTGCGGGTGGGCTGAGCCGGGAGCAGCCCTGGGAAGTGTTAGGACATGCAGCGAGGGAGGAGGAGGAGGAAGAGGGAGGAATTGCTGACACGGAGAAGGCAGCAGAAAGGTGTTTTCTGCCAGGGCTGCCTTCCCACGGACCCTGCTGCAGGAGGAGGTTGCTGGAGGGAGCAGTGAATGCGACAAGCCTTTTGCAATGAGTCTCGTGACTGTGGTACAGTGAGGAAATGCTCCTGGCATGCAGAGGGACGCAGGATCTGTGCATTGCTGTCCCTGTGTCCTGCAGTCCTAGGGCTGAGCCTGAAAGTGTTGCTTGAGAGCCCGGGAGGTGTCTGAGCTGCTCTCTGGCAGGGTCTCCTGGGACACCCATGCCCTGCATGGACACAGCACTGTCCCCACAAGAAGAAACACAGTGGGGTCGAGCCCCTGCAGCTGCCCTGGCTGTGTGCTGGCTCCAGCCCATCCAAGCAGGCTGCTCGTGGCTCCGCTTCTCGCTGGGAAAGTGCTGGGAAAGGGTGAGAAGAGCAGGTTGTTGCATCAGGGCTCTGCTCCCCAGGGGACCCTGGGGATACCTGGGTGACAGCGTGTCTGCCCTCCCCTCGGAGGAGAGGCTTGTGCTGTAGTTAGCCCTTTTCCACCGTTCCCAGCTCTCCAGCGCCGCTGGATAAAGAGCTCCCTGTTTGGGTTACAGCTGATCCGACCCAGATGCTTTACGAGACACGAACAGGCTGTTGCGGTGGTTGGACACGAGGGAAGCTGACAGGAGAGCTTTGCTGGCTCCTTTTGGTTATTTTTAGCTTGCCCTCCTCGTTCTGCTCCAACATATGCATTCCCAGGTTGGGTGGGGGCATTTTCCAGCCTGGGGTCTGCAGGGATGATGGGAATTGTGGGTCGCAGTGGGAAAGCTGTGAAGGGAGCTAGCAGAGTTACAGGCAACGGGCTGGAAAGGATCCCTGGTCCAGCCATCCAGGCTTTCCCTCTCCTCCCAAAGTTAAAAGCTCCCTTTACCCCTCCCAGCTCCTCCACAGGAGCAGGGGTCCTTGACATGTCGGTGACTGCCGTCCAGAGCCAGCTGCCGCTCTCTGTGTGTCTAACTGCTGAAGAGGAGGCAGGGAGGGCAGGAGGCTCCCAAGGGAGAGCATCAGGGCTTTTGTCCGTGACAAATCCCCCGGGACCTTTACATGGCTCACTCTTGCCCCAGAGGTTGTGATTTTTGCTGTCCCTTGGCACCAGTCACTGGGCTGGCAGTGAGCATGGCTTGGGAGCTGGGGGTTAGTGGGATGCAGCGAAGATAAACCATTTGGAAAGCAAATGCCGGTGGCATTTGGGGCTGGAATTTCCAGCTGTTGTGCTGCATTTTTGTCACTTGTAATGGGATGACTGAGGGAGCAGCTGCCTCTTTCTGGGAAAAACCTTGGGCTGGCATCTGTTGGGTGCCTTGGTCTTGCACCCCAGCCAAGCTGCTGAGCCCAGCCGCAGCTCAGGAGGTGTCAGAACTGGTTTTGTCCGTGAATTGAGCCTTTTCTCCGCACCAGGCAGTCGGTTTTCTGAATGCATTCATTGCTTCATGATTTAACTTTATTCCAGTTGCCTGGATTCCTTGTGGGTACCCGGGATCTGAGCTGCCCTGTCCGTCGGGGAGTGGTGGGAAAGGTCGAGTGGAGGCATTTGCAGTGCCGAAGTGGACCGCGGCTGTGGCCGTGGATTCGGCAGCCGGTGCTCGTGCAGAATCAGGGTGTGGGATTTTTGAAATCTGGCTTCTTGCATTGACGCCAGCAAATTCAACTGCATGAAACTGGATGGAGAACAGGCTGCCGACTGTGTCGGGTCCAGGGAGAGCTGGCTTTGAACCTTCCAGCGCGTTGGAGGCAATTGTAAAGCCTGTGGTGGCCTCAGGCTTGTTGCATCCCCGTTATTGTGGACGTGGAGCTGTCGCGGGGACCGCTGGCTGTGAGCTGGCTTCCTGCAGAGTGCTTGGAAGTGGGTCCTGCTTTCCCGAGCAGGCTGGGGAGCGGCGGGCAGAGTCTCCGCAGGGAGCCGCAGCTTTG